ATTATCTTATATGTATAGTGTGTCAAGACAACTCTTTGACTTAGGTAACTTAATAACATAAAATCATCAATATGTTAATACCTAAAATGTGAGACTATAAACTAGCTCATCCAAAAAAATAAACAGTATAAGCTACATTCTGGCCTTACTCTTTTCAATAAGCTGCCTTATCTAAATCTCAATTGGAAGTTTTAGTTGGAGTCTCCAGATTCCTTTCCTTAACAGTATTTAGTAGATTTCTTATAAAGCTTAGAACTTTAAAATTCAATAAAAGCATGGACTGAAAATACTTATCACACCTAAATGAATGAAGTAAGCTGTTAAATAAAGCAGAGCATATGTTTGTGTGTTTAGACATAGATATAATATAGATGTAAGATACATATATATACACACATGTATATAGGATAGATAGATAGAATCTCAATGCAGTTCTGGAACTAACCACTAATTCTTCTTCAGTGAAATATTGGTGGAGCCATAAGTAGATGTTTTTATAGAAAATCCTTTTGTGGTCCTATTAGTAATTTCTAGTGGTATGGTTGAAATAAATATGGGCTTTGGATTTAGACATGTGAACCCTAGAACTGATACTTGTTGAGTGATGTTTGGAAAGTTACTTTACTACTTTGCTTCTCAGTTTATCTGGAAACAATTTTCAGAATGGCTAAAGTTAAAAAAAAATATTTGACAGAGTGAGGGGCGCCTGGGTGGCTCAGTTGGTTAAGTGTCTGACTCTTGATTTTGGCTCAGGTCATGATCTCAGGGTCATGAGATTGAGCGCCACATTGGACTCTGCACTGGGCATAAAGCCGGCTTAAGATTCTCTGTCTCCCTCTCCCTTTGGCCCTCCCCCACTCATGGGCACGCATGTGTGCTCTCTCTCTCTCTCAAAAAAATTTTGATAGTGTGAAATGTTGGGAAGGATTTGGATTAAGTGGAGCTATTACACTTTGCTGAAAGAATGCCAAATTGGATAACCACTTTGGAAAACAGTTTCTTAAAAAGTGAAACATGTCCTTAGCATGAGACTCAGGAATTCCACCCCTTGTTATTTTCCCAGTAAAACGAAAATATATACTTACACAAATACATGTGAATGTTTATAGCGTTTTATTTCATAATCATCAAAACCTGGAAACAACCAAGATATTCATCAACCGATGAATGGATAAAAAAAACTGTGGTATATCCATACAATTAGAAGGAATGGACTACTGATAGATGCAACAAAATGGTTAAATATCATAATATTTATGCTAAGTGAAAGAAGCTAGACACAAAACGTGCATACTGTATGATTCCACTTTTTTAAATTTTTTTTTTAGATTTTATTTATTTATTTGAGAGAGAGAGAGAGAGAGAGACAGAATGAGAGGGGAGAAGGTCAGAGGGAGAAGCAGGCTCCCCGCTGAGCCGGGAGCCTGATGTGGGACTCGATCCCAGGACTCCGGGATCATGACCTGAGCCGAAGGCAGTCGCTTAACCAACTGAGCCACCCAGGCACCCTATGATTCCATTTTTAATGATGTTCTAGAAAAAGCAAAACTAGGGTGACGCATCAGATAAATGTTGCCAGGGTGCTGGGAGTATGGAAAAGATATTGACTGTAAAAAGGAATGAGGGAATATTTTGGAGTGATGGAAATGTTGTATATCTTTTTTTATTGGAGTTTCCATGACCATACATTTGTCAGAAGGATGAATTTTACTATATGTAAATCTTATTTCAGTAAAAAAGAAAGGAAAAAACCTTATGTTTCAGAGTGGTTATGGGAATTATAAGACATCATTCTCCTTCCCCATTTTTTATTCTGTTTGGTTCTTTATTATCCTGTGCTGCTTCTATGTCTCTTATAAATTTAGGGTCCATGATAAATAGCAATTTCTTATTTTGGGGCTGAGAGACTACAGAAAATTTATGTCTTTATTTGCAATCTCTGAGGCAGATATTAAATCGACTCGTCAACTGTGTATTTATACCTCTAGATATTCCAATTAGTACAGAATAACTCAGAGCTGGAATTTGCATACTCTGTAAAATATACCAAATATACTTGCTTGGACTAAATTCCTGATCTCTGTCCTGTGGCGGAGGGAGTTCACAGTATGGTTGTGAGGGTGTATAAAGGAACCTTGAATTTTTAGTCTGAGTCCTGCCTGAGAAAGGCGTGTTCCATGTCAGTGGTTCTCAAACATGATTGAGTATTAGAATCACCTGGAGGTCTCATTAAAACACAAATTGCTGTGCCACATCTTTAGAGTTACTGATTCAGTAGGTCTGGTGGGGGGTTGCTGGAGAGGGGGCAAGGATTTGTACTTCTGACAGGTTCCCAGCTGATGTTGATGTTGCTGATGCTGCTGGTTTAGGGTGATTATCTTGAGAACTACTGATTTATGCTTCTTTCAGGTGTTGTAGTATCAGAATTCTTAACCTACGTAAAGTAGCCAACATTGTTTTTAACTGCTTCATCAATTCATGACCACTTTTGTATTGGGTAAAATGAATATATATGTGTGTATATATGTGTGTGTGTGTGTATATATATACAGAGAGAGAGAGAGAGAAAGAAAGACTGGGAGAAAGAGAAAATAGCGTTTGGCTAGAGGCCACAAAGTATTTAGTGCCTCAAAGAAAAATGGTGCTGGCAAGAGAAAAAGGAAAAAAAAAAAGATACGGTTAGCTGCATCCCTTCCTTTTAACCTATTGAGTGTCGTCATGCTATATAATTACTTTATCCCTTTAGTAACAGGTTCCTTTGGGACTCCCATTCTCTCTACTCTCTTTGAAGTAGAGAGCCTGAAGACTCTAACTAGGCCTCTTTTGCCCATTGGCCTAAAATATTCTGTTAAGACTTTTCACTGCCTAGTTTTTTAATAAATAAGCCCTGACTTCTCACACTTAGGTTTCATGATTGTATCCTATTTTTTTTTTTCAGACCAATTGTAATTTTCACTGAGTGAAACCGAAGTGTCATAAACTGAACAATTTGAAGAAGTCTGGGATGTGTGGGTGACAATTTTAAGTGAACAAATATAAATCATGTTTTTATACCACTTTCCTAGACCTAGAAAGAAATAACTAATGGTTTTAATACTGCTGGGTATAAAAAGAAGACTAGTAAAATTTAGAATCTTAAAAAAACAATTTGTAAGTGTTAAATTTAAGGAAATCATAGATTATTTTATCTTCCTGAATGCTAAAGCAGATACCAAGAGCTGTTTATACAGATTTATTCAGAATTCCCATTATTTTGGGGCACCTGGGTGGCTCAGTTGGTTAAGCATCTGCCTTTGGCTCAGATCATGATCCCAGGGTCCTGGGATTGAGTCCTGCGTTAGGCTCTCTGCTCAGTGGGGAGCCTGCTTCTCCGTCTCCCTCTACCTCTCTACCCTGCTCATGCTCTCTCTTTCTCGCTCTCTCTCAAATAAAAAAAAATCTTTAAAAAAATAATAATTCCCATTATTTTAAGGTTGCTGCTAGGGTATATTGTGCTTTACTGATACCTGCTGACATATTATGCTTGGAGATGATGTCCTTCCTTTCTTCCACCACCACCCCACTGATTATGGAGAGTCTTTAGAGAAAATAGTTCATTGTACTAGTTGATTGCATGCCTGAACTGAATAGTAGCCTGCTGCCAATTATCATTACACTGCCATATTACTTTTTTTCTCATTTCCACTATGGAAATTAAAGCAGAACTTGTTTAACATTAGGTTCCATATATATTGTGGATGCAATTGGTTCTGAGTATTTGAGCCATTTTTTAAATAGCTGAAAAGGTAGGTTGAAGCTAGATCAGAATGTTTGGTTGAGGGACTTGAAATGTATTAGGTAGTCTAGAGGAAATTTTTGGACATATGACTGGTTAAGTGCAATCTAATCCAGCCTTTTGTAAAATGAATAAAAGAAAAGAATGAAGCTGTAGAGATCCTAGTTGGAAGACCCTGGCACATTAAAGAAAAGGTAAGTGGAGCTAAACTAGAATGTTAGCAGAATCAGTGAAAAGGAAGGGAGAAGAAATGTGTGGGAGTCTTCCTAGAAGTAGAATATTCATGACTGGATGGCAGAGTCAAACCAAGCTCTACATGATCAGTCTTCCAGCCTTTTATCACACTTGGGACTTCATTTCCTGCCATTCTTCCAAGCCTGCTTATTCTGCTGCAGCCACATATGTCTCCTTATAGTTCCTGGAATATATCAAGCATACTAGCTACTACTTGAGTACTCGATTGGTCTTTAATCCTTCTACTGTGAAAGTCCTCACTTCCTTGAAGACTCTGTTCAGATGCCACCTTATCAAATAATCTTCCCTGACTACACGTTAAAAAAATCACATCCTGGCATTCATTATTTGATTTACCAAAGTTGAATTTTTTTCATGGCACCAAAGCACTGACATTTTATTATATACTTGCTTATCTATTTATCATATGTCTCCCTCTTTGTAGGTAGTAAGCTACATGAGGGTAAAGGCTTAGTTTTGTTGCCTGTTATATCTCTATCACCTAGAACATAGCTGGTACTTAGTAGGTACTCAATAAATATTTGTTGAATCAATGAACAGAATAAATACAAAGGTGAAAGAGATGGGGATCAAAAAATTATGCCAGTATTTCAAGTCTGAAGGATTCAAAGAATAGAGGTGTTATTAACAGAGTATGGAAGAGTGAAAGAGGGGTTGATTGAGGGTAACAGAGACACAGGGGAAGATAAATTTGGCTTCAATATATCAGCTTAAGTATTTGATGCTGGTGAAACAACCAAAGCAGTACTGTGGAATGGGCAATCTAAAATGTGAAGAGAAGTCTGGCATTGGGGTAAAGATCTCTTGAGTCATCTTCATAGAATCAATACTTAATGTAATGGAAGAAGGAAAAAAATGACAATTGATATAAAGACAGGATTTTCAGATTTGAAAATTAACATTTCATTTTGGATACTTAATGTTTTAAATATACAAACTTATTTATACATATTTTTTGTTTGTTTCATAGCTGGGTTAACAACTTTGGCCATGAAGGTCTTGGACTCTTACTGGATGTGCTGGAAAAGCTTCTGGACAAGAAACAGTAAGAATAAACATGAAAAATATCACTGAAGGGGAAATTAAAAAATTTTTAAGCACAACATAACATGTTTATTTCCCCTTTATTCAGGCAAGAAAATATAGACAAGAAGAATCAGTATAAACTTATTCAGTGCCTCAAAGCATTTATGAATAATAAGGTAAGTAATAGTAATTTTTGCCTGTCACAAAAGGTGAGAGCTTGTTCAACAGTATATGAAAGTATGAAACAGTATAGTAGGTGTTTATTTGGTTTTCAAAAGGTCTTTATGATGCAAATCATCATACGTTTCATCAAAATATTAAAATATACTTTGCGTCACAATATATTTATTGGTAGGTTTTTATAATTATGGAAGCACATAAGTCTGTTGCCAAATTAGATAATACTTTTTTTTCTTTCATGGTTAAATATTTTATGTTGAATACCATTTTTTACAGTGTTTTTATTTCATTGAAAAGGGAATTTCAAAGCTATGGTTTGACTTATTTGCTAAGAACATTATAAGGTTAAGATTTCTTTTTTATGTTTAATTAATATCAGTGAGTTAATGTACATAGAAGACATTCCTGGAAGATTGCAGAGTTTTTATGTATATGTATACCAGATGCAATATTAGAGACTTTATGAATTCTAGACAAGGGTTTTTTCCTAAAAATAATCTTTACTCAGGGTGCCTGAGTGGCTCAGTTGGTTAAGTGTCCGACTCTTGATTTACACTCAGGTCATGATCTCAGGGTCTGAGATGGAGCCCTGCATTGTGCTTCCTGCTCAGCACAGAGTCTGTTTGTCCCTCTCACTCCCTGCTGCCCCTCCCTCCACACATGTACGCATGTGTGCTCTCTCTCTTAATTCAAAAAAATAATCTGTGTTCAAGTTATGATGTTATAGTTACTATTTCTTTTTCTTTTTTAAAAAACTATTTTTATGTTTTAAAGATTTTATTCATTTAAGAGAGAGAGAAGGAGCAGTGGGGAGAGGCGGAGGGGGAGGGGTGGGGGAGAGAGAGAGAGAAGCAGACTCCCTGCTGAGCAGGAAGCCCAGTGTGGGGCTCCATATCGGGACCTGGAGATCATGACCTTAGCTGAAGGCAGACACTCAATCGATTGAGTGACCCAGGCACCCCTTAAATGATTTTATATATTTATTTGAGAGGGAGAGAGAGAAGATTGAGAAAACGAGTGGGAGGAGGAGCAGAGGGAGAAGTAGATTCCCTGCAGAGCAGGGAGCCTGGTGAGGGACTCTATCCCAGGATCCTGGGATCATGACCTGAGCTAAAGGCAGACACTTAACCGACTAAGCCACCTAGGTGCCCTATAGGTATTTTTTCTATAAACAGTTTTGTTACTGTATTAGACATGATTTCCTCTATATTCCTATAAGGTAAAATACCACTAATTCACTAATTGTATAATTCTCTTTAGATGGTGTTTTAATCTCAAAATATTTAATAGAAATAATTATAACAATAACCAAAAAACTGGCCAGATATATAGCTGTTAATATGATATATACAATCTTATCACATTAATAATGTGATAAGATTATCTAATCTGTAAACAGTCTTTCTTAAACATGGGATTATATATGATTGTATATATGTATATATTATGCACACATGTATCCACAAAGGATTTTTGGCATGTGGAGTGGATGCTTGCTAGTTGACATAAGACTTTTGTATAGACTATACTAATTGCACTGTTCCTGGAAGTCTCTTCTGGAAGGATTTCTATCACCATTAATACAGAATTTCTCAACTTCTGTGCCCTTAGTGTTTTGCAACAGAATTATGCAGAATCTGATCTCTTAACAAGAAAGCACTTAATGAACATTCCATCTCCACAATTCAAGATGAATGTCTTTCTTCAGTTGAGGGAAACAGAAATAATAGAACAGTATAGTACTAGAAATCAGGAGATACAGTACAGGCTTTACCACTAAGTTGAGTGGCCTTTGGAAAAGCACTTGAAGTTTCTGGCTGTCAATCCCCTCATCTGTAAAATTAGCTGTAGGACCCTTTGTTTTAAATTCTTATTGACTTGCAGGCGTCTGGGTGGCTCAGTTGGTTGGGCATCTGCCTTCGGCCCAGGTCATGATCCCGGGGTCCTGGGATCGAGCCTCACATCGGGCTCCCTGCTCAGCGGGAAGCCTGCTTCTCCCTCTCCGACTCCCCCTGCTTGTGTTCCCTCTCTCGCTGTGTCTCTGTCTGTCAAATAAATAAATAAGATCTTTAAAAAAAAAAAATAAAAAAATAAATTCTTATTGACTTGCATTGTCAATTCTCATAGCTTAGCAGCTTACTAAATATCTATAACCAAGAGAGTCAATAGAGAAAGTCATAGTAGTGAGATTTCCTGTAGACCTTTTTCTGATAGGACATACGCTGATATGTGAATACATAATTACTTTTACTTAAGAGTCTGGCAGTTTGGAAGAACATGATGGTTTGACTTATATTATTCTAAACTAAGGGTTAACCTGTAGTTAGGATATGTTAATATCTTGCATATAAATGCTCAGAACATGAATAAATGGTGAATCTTTTAAATTATAGGCATGGGAAACAATAGGCATGTAGTATACATTCAACATTTTTAAAAAAATATGTAGTGATATGTCCACTTCATGTTGGAATAAATTGTCATAAAGCATGAAACTTTCATCTGAAATTACTTAAATTTCACATTTGTTGGCTCCAAGGAATTTAGATTACCTTCTTCAAAAACTCTTTTCCTGGGGTGCCTGAGTGGCTCAGTCGGTTGAGTGTCTGCCTTCGGCTGGGGTCATGGTCCCAGGGTCCTGGGATTGAACCCCGCGTTGGGCTCCCTGCTCAGCGGGGAGCCTGCTTCTCCCTCTCCCTCTGCTGCTGCTCCCCCGCCCCGACAAATAAAATAAATAAAACTCTTTTTTTATACAAAACATGTAATAATAGGATCATAATAGGATCAAAAGCAAAGCATTGCCTCTTAACTTCCATTGCTGTAATATTGCTCTTATGTTTAGATTTATGGTTTTTCATTATTTATTTCATTTTTATTTTTAGTATGTCCCTATGTACTAGAAACTACTTTTTTTATTTTTTTATTTTTATTTTTATTTTTTTAAAGATTTTATTTATTCATTCATGAGAGACAGAGGGAGAGAGAGAGAGAGAGAAACAGAGGGAGAAGCAGGCTCCCAAGGAGCAGGGACCCCGATGCGGGACTCGATCCCAGGACCCTGGGATCATGACCTGAGCCGAAGGCAGACGCTTAACCATCTGAGCCACCCAGGCGCCCTAGAAACTACTTTTAACTTATAAAGGAAAATTTGAAAATTTAAATAGTTTTACTCTCAGTCTATTTGATTTTTAAAGCTGTTGTTTTAAGTTTGGTAATTCCATGGTAAACCTCTGTCTCTTAGTTTTACACATACATTTTTCACTTATTTTCTTTGCTATTTAGTAACTACTGCCCACCTTTATACATGCTTGTCCATTCTGTTCTCTTTGCTTCTTTTTAATCTTGTCTCTTCCATTTCTTTTTTTTTATTTGCCTTATCTCTGTATATATTATTTATTGTGACCTCTGGTAAAATTACATTTAAGAGCTTTAGCTATGTTCCCCTTCTCGCCTCAAATTCTTTTGGAAGTTAAATTAGGCACCATGAAAATAATCATATATTTGGTACTTAACTAAAAGTCAAGCTTCAAATGACAATTTTGATCTGATGAAATGTTGGGTTTTTACTGTTAAAATTGTATAAAGAAGCAAGCGTTTCATAAGAAATCTGAGAAATACTTTGTGGGACAAAGGTCAAAGAAAATACCTTCTAAATATAGTGAAAATCCAAGTTTTAGCCTTTTTTAAACATTTGTTTACCTATTCATTCTTATAATGCACACTTCTGTGGTTGTATTCAAGCCTAGAAAACAAATGAAAATGATGTCTCCTCTGCCTAGTTCACTGTGACACTTAAGAAAACCCAGGTACCATTTACCTGGGTTCATAGCTTTTGTAATGCAGCACAGCTTCTCAAAGGGGCAGGATAATAGATGGTATGGGAAAACCTATTCAGAGGTTTATTGCTTCTTTAACTGACATATAGTATACAAAAGAAGTTTACAACATTTTACCCTTTTTGTTCAGTTTAATTTTCCACACAAATATATTGGAGAATTTAACAATGGATTCCAGATGTCTCCAGGAAGATCCAATGACATAAGTAGAATTACTTAAGAAAATCGTATCAGGGGATGACTGGGTGGCTCAGTCAGTTAAGAGTTTGTCTTTGGCTCAGGTCATGATCAGCCCAAGATGGGCTCCCTGCTTAGTGGGGAGCCTGCTTCTCCTGCTCTCTCTACAACTCCCCCTGCTAGTATGCTGGCTCTCTCTCTCTCTCTGTCAAATAAATAAATAAAATCTTAAAAAAAATCATATCAGTATGTACTTTACATGTTTTTCTTTGTTGAAGAAATACTGATTGTTCACATATTTCTCCCAAATCTTTATGGAGTTTTTAGGCAGGCTAATATAGATCATATCTGATCAAGGGGAAAAAACTCCAGGATATAGTCATTTAAAATAAAAAAACCAAAGATAAGTAACTGCATTTGAAAAGCATTTCATATAATTAGGTAGAACCTCATTGTGGAGGTGTAGGTTTTTAGAAGAACAAGATAAGTTGCTTTTTAAATTAAAGATGTGTTACAAATACATTTTGAATGAAGATTCTTTTTTTTTTTCTTTAGTTTGGATTGCAAAGGATTCTAGGAGATGAAAGGAGTCTTTTGCTATTGGCAAGAGCAATTGATCCCAAACAACCCAACATGATGACTGAAATAGTAAAAATACTTTCTGCTATTTGCATTGTTGGAGAAGAGAACATGTAAGTATTGCTATATTATTATGTTAACTGCAAAGAAAATGGCACTTGCGAAATTAAAATTATGTGTTTTGTGTTTTTCATTAGATAACTTGCATGAAAATATCACCTTTTAGAAAATAATTTATTGGCATTTTATCTTATCTATTTACATTTCAGCATTTTAAAAAATTTTTTGAAACAGATTTAAATAGATAGACCCCTAATGAGAAATTCTTCAAAGTTCATTTCACTGTAAAGTGAATGAATAGAATTTTATCTAGCTGAAGGTAATCATTAGAAAATGGGCTCAATACACAGACACACACACACACACACACACACACACATATCCCCCATATGTGCACATCACAAAATTTGACTTCTTTAACTCACTGAATTGACTAGATGCTTTTGTTTTGTTATTTTATTTAAAGTAGTATTTTACTGTATCCTACTGTAATAAGTGAAAAAATGAATTATGTATAAAGTGAAGTAAACTAACCTTTTAAAAAGAAAGAACAAAAAGACTGTTTGCATTTATTCAGAGTGCATGTATGTGTAAATTTTAACAGATTGTTGCTGAATGTACCTTAGTTCATACCTTCTTATGGAAATAATATTGACTGAGAAGCAAAATTTCAGATTTGATGTCATTAATAAGCCTAGTTAGTATGGAACCATTGTGATAAAGAGTGAAATATCTGCTAGGGGGATCACATACTAAAATATTTCTTTGAAATTGTGTGTGACAGTAATAATTTCAATTTGAATCAGAATAGGGCCATGCAAAGATTTACGAATATCCTAATACAGTGACTTTTTCATACCTATCAGAATAAAATGAGATATTACTTAATGCTGCTTAGTGTCGTTAGAGACCTAAAGCCAAACACTAAACAAAAATATTATCAGAGAGCATTAAGTCTTATCTTAGAACAAACTAAGAATGAAATAACATATGCAAAAGTAAGATTTCCTTAGGTTTTATAGAAAAATCAGTTTATACATGAGTAAAAAATACTTTTCTTGTCAATCAGATTTTCAGTACTTAATTCATATAATACAACCTATTCTGGTATATTTGTTATAGTTGTAGCTACAGTTTGATAAGCACAGTATACTACATAGAGGTTAATTTGATTCAGACACTGTATAGCAATAGTTTCCAATATTTTTGTTTATGTAAATAGTTTTCTTGTGCTAGATAATTATAGATGCTTCTCTAATTGCCTAGACTTTCTTTTTCAGTTTTTCTATCTTGTTCCATTTTGAAAGAATGTTGATTTTTTTAAGTTCTTTCAAATGTACTTGCTCTTTCTAGTACTTTATTATAAAATCAATCTGTTTACATATGAATAAAATTTTAATAATCGTAGATGTCATATTATGCTTAAATGATTATTAATATTTATGCTAACACATGAAATACCAAACCTGGAATTTTAAATTTCAGTGTTTATTAACTAAATATCTTAAAGAATGTTACCCAGGAAATTTATTTTCCTCAAGGTTTTTTAATTGAATTTTCATTTTTTTAAATAATTGAATTTTCATTTTGATGCCCTAAAATTATTTAAAGCTATCAATATTTGACTTGTAGAAATATGTGTATAGGAACACAACTCTTAAAGTGTAGTGGTCTCTAATAAACATCAAATGCCAGAAAGGAAATAAGACTGAAAGAAACAGATAACCCATATTCATAATGTGTGTGTAAGATGGATTTCTCATATCTAATTTTTTTCCCCCCTCTATAGTCTAGATAAACTTTTAGGAGCTATAACTACTGCAGCAGAAAGAAATAATAGGGAACGATTTTCACCAATTGTGGAAGGATTAGAAAATCATGAAGCTTTGCAATTACAGGTGAGTTGGTTTTGTCTTAAGTTGCTTCTGGGGTTATATTTAAAGTACTCATTTTGTCTGCTGCCAACTCCTTCTTAGCTATTATTTAAAGAGAATGAAACATAAAAATGAAATTCTTCCTATTGCTTGGTCATTTATAAAAGCTAAAAGTTTTATCTGTTAGAATAACAATTTGTTTAAAATTAGGAAAAGTACTTCTGATTACTATTAATATGGTATGATTATCATTAATATTTGGAAGAAATTTAGTAAATAATAAAATAAACCATGGGAATTAAAGCTTTACCAATAATCAGAACAACAGGGTAAGCAGTTTAGCCAGTAGTGTTATCCTAACAGATGTTGATGAAATCTTTGGGCTTATAGTACAAATTTAGGAAATCTAAGCATATCTTTATGCCATTCACACAATATGCAGAAGTCTGACTCACCAGAATAGGGTGGGGACTGAATTGCAATTCTTTGGTCAGAGTCTGTCTGATGGCTCTGTGTATACACAGCCTAAATGTCTTATTTAGAAAATGACAAAACTCAGTATCTTTTCTTAGATGGTTTCATGAAATGACCCATTTTATGAAAGATAACTTTGTTCTTGAGTGATGAGAACTCATATTTATTGGCTGTATTTATGGTATGAGATCATGGGCTAAGCATTTTAATTTACATATATTATCTGATTAAGTTCTCACAACAACCCAGCTGTGCAGGCACTATCATCATCTCCATTTTGTTTATAAGATGGGTAGGCTTATTGAGACTGGATAACTTGTCTAAGCTGACACAGCTTGTAAGTGGTAGAGTAAGAATTTGACACCAGGTTTTTGGTCTTCAATGCTCATCTTTTTCTTTTGTTTACCATTTAATGCACCATGGGGAACTCTTTTTGAATTATTTTTTAACTCCTGTAGTATCATTCAACAAAGATGATGTAGTTTTGGAATATAGGTGAGGCTTGGTGGGTTTGAAATCTTGTGATGCCTTTGGTGCAAAATGGGGGTTTTATTGAAGGATGGGGACAGTACCCATGGGCGGAAAGACCTGCTGCATTGGGGTTGTGAGGGGTGGCTGATTATATACTTGGGAGTGGGGGAGATAAGGAAAAGGCAGGTTTTCAAAAGAAATTTCATATGCTAAAGAGGACCTACAAGATACTGGAGGCCTTGCCATTGTCAAGTTAAAGGTGTTTTTTCCTCTAGCAAGGCTTGAACTTTAGGACAGTTGGGAGCTTCCTTGGAGGAACATTACACTCTGCCTGCCTCAAGTATTTGTCACTGGGCTGCAGATGATAAGGACATTTAATTTTATCTGCATTTCCTTCTGGAAGTTAGGTTATTGATAAGAATGCTTTTTTCTAGGGGCACCTGGGTGGCTCAGATGGTTAAGCTTCTGCCTTCGGCTCAGGTCATGATCCCGGGGTCCTGGGATCGAGCCCCGCATCGGGCTCCCTGCTAGGCAGGGAGCCTGCTTCTCCCTCTGCCTCTGCCTCTCTCTCTCTCTCTCTCTCTCTCACTCTAATGAATAAATAAATAAAACATTTAAAAAAAATGCTTTTTTTTTGTAAATCAGTAAGACTTCTGTAAACTGAGGGAGACTCTTGTCTTGCAGGACTGCAATCTCTATAAGTTAACCATTTGTTTTTCCTTCCCTTAGCTTTAGGGCAGCCAGGAGTGCCTGAGGAATGTCACACATATCCCACCTGGGAGTGGGGGAGGGGGGTTTGGGGGGTGTCAGCTTGTGCTTTGTCCTTAGCTTTCCTTCTGCTCTTTCCTCAAAGAGAAGATGGTTCCACATTTAATTTTATCAAATTATTTAGTAGTGAGTGTTTAAACGTTAAAATTTCTTATCTGATGTAAAACAATTATTTTCTTTTTTATTGTGTTATAAAGTATTAGTATTTTTTTTTTTGCAAAAGTTTGAAACTTCAGCAGATAGATGAATTAGCTTATCCAAAGAGAATGCTGTAGTGTTACGAAAACTGTAATCCGTCTTTAAATATTTAAGGATCTTTGTTGTTACTTCTCCAACTGTGATAATCATTTTGGATAAACTTTTACAGTTTGTCTTTTATGTCTAATGTATTACATTTTTAATAGATGGGATGTTTCCTTCTACTGTTCATGTAGGAAAGATATTAGGGTTCAAAGCCTGATGGCCAAAAAAGAATTCTTTATGTCTTTGGTGCAAAAAGGTGATTTTATTAAAGCAAGGGGACAGGACCCCTGGGCAGGAAGACCGCCACTGGGGTCTTGAGGGGAGTGGCCCATTATATACTTTCAAGTTGGGGGATAGCATAAATCTCTAAGGAATTTTGGAAGCAAGGTTTCCAGGACCTTGAAGGGGCTAGCTGTTGTTAGGAAAAGGTCATTTATTACTGTCTGATAAAACCTTAGTCATGAGACCCTTCAGATGTGTATCAGTGGGTCATATGCTTGGGTGATGATTGTCAACATGTATCTTGGAGGGGTAGAGATAAAGGAAGTTTCCAAAGGAATTTTTATATTTTAAAGTAGACTTACAGCATCCTGGGGGTCAGTTAAGATTGCCTTCTGACTTTAGCAAAGTATTAACCTCCTGGCAGCTGAGTTCCTAGAGGAATGTCACTCTGCCTGCTTTAAGGACTTGTGAATGGGCTGCAAGTAGTAAGGAAATTTAATTTTTCTTTTGCCTTTGTTTCCTACATCACTGTTTTCCTTTGTATAATATACTTATTATAAAATTTATCTCAAAAATTTTTAATATCTCTACTGAAAGATTTGAGAACTGTACTTTTTAGATGAGTTCTTTAAATCTTTGTTCTTGTTCCTTATAGTTGGGTTTACCCAACTAAATTTCACTGGCATTCAGTCATTTGTAGGAGTTTGTACTTGTCTTGCAGTGTTTGTTTAAGAGAAAGTAAGTATTTTAGATATTCAAAGTTTTCATTACTCGCTCAAATGACTCACTTAAAATCACACAGCTATTGAGGGGTAGAACTGTAATTTGAAGCCAGGTCTTTTTGAAGCAACATTTGTATACTGCATTTTCTGACCTTTAAAATGACACCCCTCCACAGAGTAGTCCACCCCAACAAATGGGGTAGGAATGACAATTGTTAGCCTTCAAGAAGTTGGACTGAATAGAATGATAAAGTAGCAAATTGTTGACAGGTAGCATATAGAAGAATCATAAGCATCTTGCTAGATATTCAAGAAATTGTTGAATACTGATTATAGATGCAAACATATGCAAATCATAATTTGAAATATCCTATTTTGATGAGTTAAAAATTAGTAATTTGTTATATACAGAGCCTATGACTCTTATAAGAATTGTGACGTGGGTTTATTTATTAGGACTATTTCATGTGATTTAAAAAATATCATCTAAAAGTTCAAAAATATATTCAGAATACAGAATGAAAACCAAAAGTTGGAATTTGTTGTTTAAAAAATAAAATTAGTGCTGTATTTTAACAGAATTACTTCCTGAGACTATAATAACATTTTGAGAAGTCTCAGGATATTACAGAAATAGAAAAGGTAATTCTGTTAAAATACAGCACTAATTATATTTTTAAATAACAACTATATGTATTTTTTCTTTTTTTATTTTAAAACAGATTATTAACTTCTCACAGAGGTTTTCTAGCTCATCTTTCAAGTGAAATTTTGTCCATGTGATAGGATTTTCATTATCTTCAATAGTTCAAGAAACAGATAGACAATAAATCATATATCTTCATATGCTCTATCTTAATTGACTTCCCTTCAGCTTAATAGCATTCTCAGTTCTCATCCATACTACAACACCTTTTGATCTTTCTTAATCTTCAAACTAGCCTCTCATCTTCCTTTTTTATTTTATAGTCCCACTCTCTAAAAGAATCATCTATACTTGTTTTCTGTATTTCCTAAATTACCTTTTACAACTCAACATTTTCACAGTTCTTAAAAAGGTTGATAGTGATCCTCTAATTTCAAAATCCAATGGCCTTTTTCTAATCCTCATCATTTGGCACTATTAATCACCTCCGTCCTTGAAAATTTTACTACCTTTGGCTTTATGGGCTCCATTCTCTCCTTGCTCTCTGACTACTTTTGTCTTTTCTCTGTCTTTTCCATGTGTTTCTTCTCTTCTTGGGTGTTCTGTTTTCTCTGGTCTATCCTTGGCACTCTTCTAGTATTATTTTTGTTTGGACATACATATGTACATTTACATACATAGACACACACATATATTTTATCTTCCTCATAAATATCCTCATTTGGTTCTCTAGTTTTAGCATCCAGCTATATTCTAGCAATTCCCCATAATTATAAGTCCATGTAATTCAAACCTCTTCATCTCTATTCAAACCTCTATGTCAAATGCTTAACTAGATGTCTTAGAGGCATCACAAAAATAAGAAATTAAAGATAGCATTTATAAGTCATGTACCGATGTTCCAGTACTTTACATATGTTACCTCATTCTGAACTCCATAGCAATTCTATGAGAAAGGTTGTAGTATCCCCATTTTGTAGATGAGTAAATAGGCTCATAAAGGTTAAATAACTTCCCAAGGGTCACAATATAATTTGGAGGCAAAAGCCCAGATATTAGACACTAGGGAGTCTGGCTCCAGAGTACATGCTCTTAACCACTGCATGATACCTCCTCTTACTAACTAAGCAAGTAGCCATACATACCTCAGTAGCTCCTGAAGGCATCTCTGTGTTACATCATAGCTCACTGTCTCACATATTTAATCACACCCCTGAGTTAGCAAGAAAACAGTTATATCTAGGATATTTTGTTTAAGAATGTGGGAATTATCTAATTCATTTCTGAAAGTGTTTTGTGCAAAAACATGTGTTTATGCTTACATAGACAAACCGTCAGGTATATGGACTGATTCTTTGTAGCTTGATTCTCTTTCCATAGTGGTTTTCAAGTATTGAGATTTTACTCTAAGCATTAGCTATTAGGGCGCTCATACCATCACATATGAGGAAGTAGCCTTGGATAAATATTTATCATGT